GCCTGGGCCACCTTCATTTCCTGGGAAGTACAGAGTCTGGGCTCAGGTGGGGCCCTAAATAGCACTAACCCAGCAGCCACCCTTCTTAGGCTTAGTAACTCAAGAATGCCTTTGGGGGTCTCAGCCCCCACCCATGGGGCTCATTAAACTGTTTCTTCCAAACAAAAGCGGAGTGTCTTCTAAGTGGAATTCCCACACCATCTGCTCTTGTGGCCCTGTTTTCTCCATTGCCTTGGTTTCTCAAACATTCAAGGAGGAGGTCTTCAGGGAAGACTTGGAGCCAAGTGTTTGCTCCTCAGAGCACGGATTTTCAGAGAGGCTACCCTCAGGGACAGCCAACCCCATGACTCAAGCTCCCAAGGACTTTACCAGGTATCCCCAAGGTGGCCTCAATAGTAGCCAGGTAGGAGCTTGTGCACTGGCCTCCCCCTGCTGAGTAAGACCATGGGAAACACGCTGGCAGGGACTACAAAGCCTGGGAAAGCTGCAGATCCACACACCTGCAGTGAAGGTGGAAAACCTGGAAGGGGCCAGACTCCTAGGACCACATCAATAACAGCAGCCAGAGGAGGGGTTGGTAGAAAGGGTGGATGAGCATAGCAGGATGCTATGGGTGTAGGTGTGGCCTAACCAACTATGCTCACACAGGTAGGCAGAAGCAACGCTCTGACCTACTCTAACATAACTGTGGATCTTCCATAACAGTTTACAAAATGGATCTTCCAAAAGTTGAGGTGCAGTCTTGAGGTCTTCTATCCTAATTCATGCTATTTTCTATTCTTTCCATCTGCTTGCTTATTGGAGACAATAAGCTGTATAGCCCAGGCTAGCCTCCAATTTGCCAAAATCTCCCTGAGGCAGCTTCTTGGCTTGCTGAGATTAAGCAGGGTCTCAGGTAGCACAGATTTTTCTCAAAATGTGTATGTAGTAAAGAATGATCTGGGGGCTGGAGAGATGGCTCAGAGGTTAAGAGCACCGACTACTCTTCCAGAGGTCCTGAGTTCAATTCCCAGCTACCACATGGTGGCTCACAACCATCCGTTATGAGGTCTGGTCCCTCTTCTGGTGTGCAGATATACAGGGAAGCAGAATGTTGTATACTAAATAAAATCTTTAAAAAAAAAAAAAAAAAAAAAAAAAAGAATGATCTGGAACTCCTAACCCTCCTTCCCTCACCTCCCACGTACTGGGATTACAAGTATGAGTCACCATGCCTGGCTTCGCACAGTTTTGTTTGTTTGTTTGTTTGTTTTTAAATTCATTTGTGTGCATGTGTTTATGCACACATGGATCGTGTATGTGCAGGTGCTCTTAAGAGGCAGAAGAAGGTGCCAGATCCCCTCCTCTGGTGACTGAGTTACAGGCAGCTCTGATCTGCCCCATGTAGGTGCTGGGAACCAAACTCCAGGGCCCTGGAAGAACAGCAAGTGCTCCTAACTGCTAAGCCATCTCTCAGGCCCCTTTCTCCTTTCTTCCTTCCTTCCTTGCTCCCTTCCCTTCCTTCTTTCTTTCTTTCTTTCTTTCTTTCTTTTTTCTTCCAAATACACTCACTCTCTATCCCTTTCACACTTTTTTTTGGGGGGGGGGTGAGACAGGGTTTCTCTGTGGCTTTGGAGGCTGTCCTGGAACTAGCTCTTGTAGACCAGGCTGGTCTCCAACTCACAGAGATCCGCCTGCCTCTGCCTCCTGAGTGCTGAGGTTAAAGGCGTGCGCCACCAACGCCCGGCTTATACATGTTTTTATAGCATTTGAAATTTAATGAGTCTGGAGATGTAGTTTAGTTGCTAGTAGCCCTGGGTTTGACTGTCATAAAACACACCACATAAAACCAGGCCTGAGGCTGAGGAGGTGGTGCTATGGATAACAGTGCTTATAACAGGACCTAAGTGTGAATCCCTGGCATCCATTTAAAACCTGGGCATGGCTCCATGCTCACATCTGTAGCCCAGCACTGTGGGGAAGAGGCAGGGGGATTATTGGAGCTTGTGGCTATAGCTCCAGGTTCAGTGAGAGATGCTGCCTCAAAGCAATAAGGTGGAGTGTGACTGAGCAGGACAACTGATGTCCTCCTATAGCTTCTGTGTATACATGGAGGCATGCATGCCCCCTAGTGCAAACCACCACACACACACACACACACACACACACACACACACACACACACACACACACCCACGTGTCTAGTTCTTTGAAGGTTCTTTATAAGCTTTCACCCAATTCCCTTGAAATAAAGCCTGTCTCAGAGGATTAAGTGGAGGGTGGCTGAGGGGAGCAATGAATCAAAAGTCCAGGAAGGGTGAAGAGAGGTACCCTGCAGGAGAGGGATGTGGCATATTGCTGTGGAATAACCCTTCTGTTCACTGTGAATATGCATTACTCTCATTGGTTAATAGAGAAGCTATAGCCAGGCCGTGGTGGCGCATGCCTTTAACCCCACCATTGGGAAGGCAGATCTCTGTGAGTTCGAAGCCAGCCTGGTCTACAGAGCAAGTTCCAGAGCAGGCGCCACAGCTACACAGAGAAACCCTTTCTCGAGAAACAAAACAAAACAGGAAAAACTCCATCTATAGCACACTTTCTCTGATAGCTACTTTGGCAAAAGTACTCAACAGAAACAACTTGAGAAATAGCTTATTCTGACTGAAACTCAGAGACACATCAGTGCATTGTGGCCAGGAAGGCATGGTGGCAGAAGCATGAGTTTGTTAAAGACACACTAGACAGGAAGCAGAGAGCATGACTGGAACCCAGGGCAAGCATGACATCCTAAGACCCAGTGCCAGAGGGTCTTATTTCCACCAGCCAGGCTCACTTCCTCCAGGCTCACAGACTTCAAAATAATTCTACAAACTGGGGACAGAGAGCTCAAACGTAAGCCTGTGAAGGAAAGACATTCCAAGTTCAAACTGTAACATCAGAGGAGCCAGGGACCAGGAGAGGCAGCATGGGAAAGAGCATGGGAAGGAGGGAGTCTGTGGACTGTGATGGTGCACCTTGTGGTGTGACCCAGAGCTGGCACTAGCTGGCATCTTCAGGCATGGGAAAGCCAGTTACCATGCTAAGTCTCTGCTATACTGGCCAGCATCTCTCATTTTGTTTTGTTTTATTGTTTTTTAAAGAAAAGCTAGGCAGTGGTGGTGCATGCCTTTAACCCCAGCACTCGGGAGGCCTGGTCTACAGAGTGTGTTCAAAGGACTGGATCCATAGCTACTGAGAAACCCTGTCTCGAAAAACAAAAAAGAAAGAAAGAAGGAGAGAGAGAGAAAGGAAGGAAGTCACTGGGCAGTGGTGGCACACACCTTTAATTCCAGCACTTGAGAAGTAGAAGCAGGTGAATCTCTGAGAGTTCGAGGCTTCCCTGGTCTACAAAGCAAATTCCAGGATAGCCAGAGCTACATGGAGAAACCCTGTTGAAAAAAAAAATAATGAAAGAAAGAAAAGGTTTCACTATGTAGCCTTGGCTGTTCTGGAGCTTGTTTCGTAGACCAGGCTGGCCTTGAACTCACAGAGAGCCACCTGCCTCTGCCTC